TCAAATACTGAGGAGAAATTCTGAATTGCTCATATATGTTTCCTTGGATCATTCTTGTGGTTCATTGAGCTATGAGCAGCTCAACATTAGAGAAACTAAATTAACAAAATGAATGAGCCTGTGCACTAATTTCTATACTGTGAAAGGAAAAGAAAAAAAAAAAATAATTATAACCTCTCAGTAAAAGATAATTAAAGTTTTAAGGATATGTTTGTTTTATGTTGGAATAGTAAGGCACTGCTAACCAAGTCTCAACTAAATAAGATAGAACTTATAAAGAAAAATTGAAATTTGGAATTTGAAAAACCCTCTGCAGTTTTCCAAATTCATTGGAACCTCAGATCATGAGCACCTTACCTCATGAACAATATGATTTATGAACAAAAAATGCCTCATAACAAAAAAATGCCAAATAACTTGAGTGTTTGTAAACACTCCAGTTAACAGCACATGATTTTCAGATGGATTTTGAGGTAATCTATGCACATAACTAACTCCCAGGACCTTCTGTAAAAATCATTTTAATATTTTTCCTAGCTTTATTCTTATTAACAAAACCTGATAGCAGGTGACTTAGAGGACCATAACAAAAAAAGATATAGAAGTTCGGAAGAGGATGAAAAAAAAGAACCGTAGTTTTCTGTTCCACAAAATTTATGTAAAAGGAGGCAAGATACAAAGTTTTCATGTAATGATATCATATATAGGCATGCATGCCTAATTATGCCATGTCTCACTTTACAATCATTTTAAAATATAAGCAGCAAAAAATTATATTGAACAAATTTTGAGTGAAACAGAGGCCCAGTGAGTTTCAGAATGTAATGCTGCTTAGAAACAAAGAAAAGATGAAAGAATATGCTCCCTAAAGAGAGTTATATTATGTTTTTATGGAAGGAAATTTCACATCCAAACAATAGCATGTTCCTTATCATTTTCTACGTATGTTATCATCTTCCTTTAAACAAATACAGCAAAGTTAAATTCAGTTCTTATCCAATTTTTCTTTTAATATTGCATTGATCTCTCTCTCTTTTTTTTAATGATTTCCATTAGTATAATTTGTGCATGTAGTACTGTTGTAAAGTTTAAATCTGTAATCCAGGAATACATTAATTCATGTGGGAAAAATTGTTTTGGTCTACGAACATTTCGTTTGATAAATGGAATTCATGGCATTCGGGAATTAATTAAGTACATGAACTGAGGTTTCACTGTATGATGAATTACCCATCAAGTTAAATGTTACTCATGGAATCAAATGGATTCACAACAAATGAGTTTTTATAAAATATGTAGCTAGCTTATCTCTGCTAAAAATATCATCCAATCTGATGATACCTTGATCAGTCAATCTATTTCTGGAATTTCAGTGTGTATGAGATATTATGTCATTTGGAAGGTTTTGCAGTATTTCAAATGGAAGTATAATTTTCTTCTAATTATTTCGTTACAGATAACAAGTGACATTGATTGAGGCAGATATCTAAGTATGATCTTTTCTGTTCACAGTGCCTAATTCTAGCATGTGTTGTGGTATAATTTTTACTTCATTGCAATGCTAAGAATAGAGAACCTGCAAGTTCATTTTCATCATGTTATGCCCTTTAATATTAAAAAAAAAGAGGAAAAAATTTCAGTCAGACTGCTTATAAAATTTGGCAGACTAAGTGCTGCTTCTGATGACACAATTTGAAGATGGTTTGAAAGTTTAAATGAAGAAATTTTAGACTCAAAGATGATACCTGCTTTTAACGACCATCCTCTGTAAACAGGGACCTGTTAAAATAAGCTGTCACTGAAAATCCATGTTATGCAATCAATAGCTATCAGACTGGCTAAATATTCTAAAAAGGTATAGTACACGGTTATTTGAATAAAGTTAAGATTATAAGCTATTACAATGTTTGTGTGCCCTATACTTTTACAGAGCAGAATATGCTTGCTCAATTTTCAGCATGTGATCATTTGCTCAAAAGAAGTGAAGAAATTCATTTTTTGAAATGGCTCATTACTGGAAATGAGAAGTAGATACAATACAATAATGTTGTAAAGAAAAGATCATGGGGTAAATCAAAATAACCTTCATAAATAACAACAAGAAAAGTTGCATCCCCCAAAAATAATGATTTGTGTATGAAATATAAAGAAATTATATATTATAATTAGTTGATACCAAGTTGGACAGTAAGTTCAGAAAATTACTCTTCCCATATGGCAGTTTTAAAAGTGGAAATCGAAGCAAAGCACCCAGATCTGATCATTCAAGGTGTTGGCTTCCATTATGACAATGCTTGGTCCTGCATTTCGATGAATATCAGAAAAAGACTTATTGTGTATAGACAGGATTTTTTGTGTCACCCCTCAATAGTCATCAGACCTTTTCCTTTCAGATTTTCATCATTTCAGAATTCTGTGAGTGGCTGAGAATTTGCTTCTTTTTACTTGCCAAATAGCATCTCAATAACTTCTTTATGAATAAACCTAATGTTTTTTTTTTTTTTTTTTGTAAGAGTTTTCTAGTTACTTAAGAAATAGCAAATAGTCATAGAACAAAATAATGCTTATGTGATTTTCTTAAATTTTAGTATTGTTTAATTTGTGTTTATCATAAAAAGCCACACAACTTTTCAGAAGACCAATAATTATGTATTTCCTTCTATATAATTAGTGCAAGTTCTAGATTATAATTATAGAAATTATTTAATATACAATTTGTGTAGCTACATGACCCACATATTTTATCTGCCACATATGAACATAAGTAGACTATTTTGAACTTCTAGTAAGTGCAATAACTAGAATATTCTGAACTTTCACTAAGTACAATTTTTTAGGGGGCAGAAGATCTCATAACTTGAATGCAACAGAACCACAGGAATCTACTGATAACTATTTAGAAATACTAAGGTGATTAGTTTTCTCACTTTTGGTACTAGTACATAACTCAATTATAAATTTTATGTACATGGTAATGTTAGCTGTCTTGCAGCTATCATGTTTTTAGTAAGTAGATTTTACAACGGTACTTTGGTATACATCATTAACCTGTCCCTGATCCTTAGATACATACCAAGTGAACTTTTCCAATGAGAAACAGAGTGATAGTAATTAATCTATTCTAATAAAAATATCCTATTGTTATTTCTAAAATGCTATTATTCATTACTAAAATGCAAATGCAGTGGTTGAAATATGTACTGTACATAAATGAAACTCTGCCCATGATACTGTATATAGATGTTTTTTCTGCTGTCCAAATCAAAAGCAGTTTTTTAAAACTGTCTAATTTCTCTGATCTTTATATGGTAATCAGTTTTACCCTTATCGCAATGCTAGGTGATTTAATAGCATCTTTTTTTTTTTTTCCCCCATTTTCTTAGAGACCAAAGTATTTGGCATATGGTATGTAATAGCCATATCCTGGATATGCATGCCATCTTCATACTTTTCAGTATTCTCTCTTTTTACCTCCATGGTGATCCTAACAATTTTCCTCATTGTTTGACTTTTCTCATTAACTTTTCTAAAACTTATTGTTAATGAATTAACAAGATATTTTGTGGGGGAAAAAAAGCATAAATCCACTTGAAAATTCAGAATTATAGCACGGGTTGTTTGCTGAATGTATCACCAGGTGTTCTAACACTCATGGGCAGTTATAGCATTGTCTCAAAAGAATTAAACAAGTTTAGTTTGTGCAGTTATGACTCACTGAAGTCGAGTTGCATTGCAAACGAATGTCATAAACCAAACAAAAATTTTTTTGCATTCACACAGGATGTATTTCAAAGTAGATATATACCAAGGTACCTCTGTATTATATTCCTTTTTATAATGACTTCCAAGATTATTTTTTTTTGATAATTTTCAAGGAAAAAGAATGTTTTTAATAAACTTATCTCCAGTCACTCTCATATCATGAACAGTAAATGGTCTGAATCTGGAAAAAGAATGTTTTTAACTTTCTAATGTAATGTTCTAATGAATGGGAAAGAATGTTTTTAATAAACTTATCTCCAGTCACTCTCATATCATGAACAGTAAATGGTCTGAATCTGTAGAAGAAAAATTATCTGGCTTTCCATTTTATAAAAAATTGTTATATTTATATTTACATATTTGCTTTATGTTATAGTTAACAAAAATTGGATATTTCTTAATCATTTGACATAACTAATTTTACAGTGATGAAGGTAATTAACCTCTGTTATGTATCTCCATATGTATGTAACTTAAAAGTTAGTTGTTAAATAATCTTCCTCCCACCTATGATGCAGTTTTCCTTTGAGACCTAAATAGTAAGTAATAAATGGCAAAATAGTGCAGTTTTATTTACATAACAATTTTACTCATGATTCTTGTGTCTAAAACCATTGAATACCATAATGCAGTTTTCAGTTTCCAGAATATCCAAATATATCTGATATTTATATGAGATGTGACTGAAGAGGCTTCATTCATGGATTTTTCACATATACAATATAAGTTCAAAATGGTTTACATTAGAAAGTTCCTTTACAGACATATAGACAAATAACTGTTGAGTATTTTACTATGATTAATTAATAAAAATTTCTACAAATATTATTATCTTCTGAAGTAATTTAGCCTATTCTCTGACAAACACTGTTGTTCACACACCAAATCATTTTAATTGGAAAATTCAGAAAACTTAAAACTTGTAAATCATTAACCAAAGTGTTCTATATAAATTAAATATGTTTTCTTTCAGCTGGAGAATTTTTAGAATTTGTTTAACTAATAAAGTTTTATAATTAAGGTAAAAGTTTTATATTTAAAAAATATGGAAATGCTATTCTATTGTGTATTTACTTTCAAGGTGTGTTTTCCCTTTTGTTAATTATAAAACATTAAAGTTGATGTTGTGGAACTGAAAGAATATATTAATTACATTCTGAAAGAATTACATAACTGAAAGAATGTAAAATTTTAGATTTAAAATATGTTAGAAAAAAATACATTTTATTTAAATTTAGGTTAGCTGAAATTCTTTCTGAACTGACAAGCCAAAAGGAAAAGCACAATTTATTGAAAACAGAAATTGATGAATTGAAGCATATGCTGAAGACCACTCAGGGAAAGTATTCATCTCTCTTGGATGAGGTAATTTCATATGCTATATTCTTCTGCAGAAACAGAAAAGTATTTGACCCTTCATAAAAACATTGAAGTTGATAAATAAAAAAGAGGGAAAATGACTGGATTTGACATGTGGTTAAAACACTTTATCATTTTGACCAGCATCTTTCTTTTAACATCTGTTCCTTACCTAACATTTTCCTGCAAGTATAATGAAAGAGAAAAAAATAGAAAGAAACCTGAAATGGCACAATTTTTTATGTTCTTGTCTCAAAAATCTGCAGTAAGAAAAAAAAGAGGCCGGAAATGGCATGATTTTTGTTGTTACCTCTAAAAATGCTTGAATGGGTAGATTTAAATTGGATTAGAATCTGTTTAATTTTTCACTAAAAAAAATATTTTTCTCTCAAATATAAGTTGAATATTATATTTTGCATTTTACTCCTGTTTTCATTATCAGTGTTGTTATTTTAACAACCTTGTTAATGTATATTGGAATAAAATACGCAAGTGTAACATTTTTATACCTAAAAATCACATTATCATAGCTAAAAATTTTATAATTCCATCATTTAAACATTTTGATTTCTTTAATACTAAACAACAGTATGTATGCTTGAAACAAAAATACATATAGTGGAGATACAAATGCTGATTCCATTTTATACACCTTTCTGTAGTATAACCAACTGGTGACCTTGTGTATGCTGTATTTTCCATTATTTATTTAGTCACTGGCAGAAATACCCAATGCCAGTTAAATTAGATTGAGAGTAAAGTATCTAACAATCGAGAGAACGATACTGATGTAATCCTTCTCTGATAATGATGCAAAAAATATGATTCATAGTCATACGTTTTTCAGTCTGATGCAATATGGAAATCCTATAAAAAAATTTCGATAGAATAATAAACTAATTCTCTCTCATTATATCAGCAACAATGCCACTCAGTTTTCAATGATTTTTGTCTTTCTAATCAAATGGTCAGATTAGGCAAATGCAGTTCGCAGAAAACCGGCGATTGTACTATACTTGAAGGTTGGCGATTTTCTAAGGAAGTATGCCAGAGCATTTGTGTGTAGTAACTGAGCTAATCAAATGGTCGTAAAAGCTCAAGTTCCATCCAGTATTTTACCTATATTCAAATTTAGTCCATTAAATATGGCAAAAAAATTATCATAATTTATCAGAAATCGATGTGAACAAACAAATAAACAGGCATTCTTCTTTGTATATATAGATTTTATAAAACTTACAAATTTTGTATTAACAAACTCTACGATTTGAAAGCGAGCAGTAGCAACACTTTTCGAAATAAAGCATTTTTATTTCCAACCCGTGAGACTGTTGCCACTCAAAAAATTATTGCAAAAATTAGTGTTTTAGAGTTTTTAATTAATATCACGCCTGATCAAAGTCTTACAAGATGGGAACAGTTGAAATGGCTTCCGACAAATTTTTGGAATCTGGAATACTGTATTTAATGTTTGGCAATACTATTTCATTGTAAAACTTAAAAATTTTTTATAAACAAACTCTACGATTTGAAAGTGAGCAGTGGCAACATTTCATGAAATAAAGCAGATTTTTATCTCCCAAGGAAGTTAGAGTAGGAGATAACAAGGATGTCTATTCTAACCTTCTTGTTATCTCCAGCATGTGAAACTGTTGCCACTCAGAAAAGTGAGGGCGAAAATTAGGGTTTTCAGAGTTTTTAATTAATATCTCTGATTCCCCCCCCTTTTAAGTTTTAAGTGGACGTCGACCTTTCTCAGGACCCAGAAAAGAAATGCAGAAAGTTTGGTGACAATAGTTATAGTAGTGACTGAGTTAATCATGCAAAATAAACGCACAGACATTCTTCTTTATATATAGATTAATAATCCTTAATGACTTCAGTTTTGTGATCATGATCATCTGCAACAACTTCCAAACAAAAGATCTGGAATACGCAGGAAGCAGTCCTGTCATACTTATGCTCAGCATTTAGTATGATAATAATTAAGGGTGGCATCCACTTTCTAGATTTCCTCGAGTTTGATTTTGGTGGATTTTGTAAAACGTTTGCATGTGGCATAATACAAATCAAGATCAACCAGTAGTGCTGATTTGTACATGCTGTGCTAATGAAACTTTGTAAGATTATTCAACAAAATCTGTTTATTCTTTTGCAACAGTTTCAATCTCTTTCATGATTATATTAAGCTTACACACAGTAAAAAAAAAGCTTGCTAGAATTTTTTTTTTTTTTTTTTTTTTTTTTTTTTTTTTATGAATTCCAGTGGAGGTGTGAAAATATCCAAACTATAATAGGGACTTTACCTGTTATAATTTTCAATTCTTTCTTCTCATAAAATGGTAAGTATGGTACTCAGGTCATATGTTCCAAAGTATGAAAATCTGCAACAATCCTTATGAATTTTTCTAGGATGGACAAGATGGTTGTACACTGTGAGAGATACCTGAATGATCATTATGTTTTTATATCACTTTCTATGTACTATTGAAAATTAAAATGCTAATAGCCTGTACTTCGTAATATTTCTTTGTCCTTTATGCAATGCAGTGCATCGCTAGACCCCCAAACTTGTAGCAGACATCTCAAAAACAGTAGTGCAGCATTTTATTCATTTCCATCTCATCTAGAATTGTGCATTCAAATACTAGATTTTATACATTTGTTGGTTCATAATATAATGGCCGTTAATAATTTTCAAATGACTCTACTCAGATCTTATAGGACCTGTTTTGGTTGACATGTTTTTTTGAAATTGGGTGTATATGCTATATGGATCATGGAGAAAAGAAAACTGCAATAAAATATAATAGCACAAATTTTTACTATTAGATTAAAAAGTGGTGCATAAGAAATTAAAAAACACAAATTAGAGATATAAAACTTTATTTGATCACAATATTTATTTAACATATATGGTTATTATTATTTAAAACAGCCAAATGTTTATGATTTTGATCTTAGAACTTCTTCTTTCTGTTCTCCTCACCAAAGTGTAAATGAGTTAACTAGCATTAAAACTGTGGTTTATGTTCGTAAGTGACAGCAAGTTTCTGGCATATGTGAATGAAAGTTTCTATATGTGCATGCTACTTTTAGTTTCTGTCAGCTTTGATAGTTGTGATTTTGGGCTTTGCTTTATTCACTGCCAACAAATGGATCACTATACTCCGGTTAGAAATACTGAGCCAGCCTAGAATAAGATTTAAATTGTGTAGTCTTTGACTATTGTTCTACATTTGAATTTGAATTTGACTGTTTGCTTAGTAGCATCACCATAAGTTGTGGCTGATATTATTAGCACAAGAAAATGCATTTATATTCTAATTTCTGTTTAAATTAAAAAAATATTTAAACCTTTCCATGACTTTGTAGTTATTCCAGACATAGTGATAATTTGCTCTATATTTGTTGGGGTTATTACTAATCACTAATTACCAGGTCCGTATTAAGTACAACCCCATAAATGTGCATTCCATTTGCATCAATAACATGTTGAAATTTTGTTGTAGCATATTCAAAAATAGCAGAAATGATTTTTTGAGGAATTGCAGCAACATGGCATTGCTAAGTATGCTTTCAGTTCAGACACAGTATGTATGCTCCCTCCATGAATGCAATCTTTCAGGAAATCCTACTACCAGAAGTTGCAGAGATTCAAATCCAGAGAACAAAGAGGCCAGGTATTTCAAAAACTTCTCAGAATTATCCAACCGTGTTCAAAGAGAATACAAAGTAGGTCCTTCATGTGTTAGTCAATATGAGGTGTTGCACCATTTTGCATAGAGCAGGAATGACTTGCTGCTGAATAAGTCTGCAGTAATGGGCCCTCATGGGGATACATCTTAGGGCCTTTCAAGCATTGTTGTCCAAAAAGAGATCAAGAATGAAGTCAGCAGCAAAACCATATCATATGGTCATGTAATCAAAATGCAGAGGCTGTTCATTCACAACACGGAAACTTGCAGTATCCCATATATGATATAGTACAGAATATCCCATATATTCTGTACTTCATCTTTGGCAAAATGAGCCTTTTCTGACTACAAAATGTTCTGAGGCCAACCATTACATAGTCAATAGCTTTTCTTGATAAAAACTGGCTAGCAAATTCAATACATTGGGGCAAATCATGAAAGCGCAGCTTTTGCACCATATGGATCTTATAAAGACACCACTTTAAAATGGATTGCAGAAACTTTCATACCAGAAACTAGGGGATTGACAAATATTGTGACACGGCTGAAGTAATTGGTTGAAGAAACAGCAATTCCATGTTCTTTATGCACCACTTTTTTACACGGTTGTTGAAATTTGAATTATTATATTGTTACGTGAGCGCGGACCTCTGGAACATTACCTTTAATAATATTATCGATCATCAGTGGCCAAATCACACAAGGATTGTTTCGCTGACGATGTTGCCTTCATAATCCAAGGATCTACACGAAGGCAACTAGAGGAAAACTGCCACACCACCCTTAATATATTCAACTACCTTTGTCATAGAATAAAACTCCAAATATCACACATAAAATCGCACACACTTATAATACACAAGCCAGGACAAACAATAACCAGGAATCCCACGCTACTAATTGGAAATAATAAAATAAAATGTGTGAAGACTATTAAGTACTTAGGACTCACCATAGACCAGAAATTCAATTGGATACCACATCTTCAGGAAAAGAAGCTAACCACCGCCAAAATCGCAAAAGCATTAAGGGCAATGGAAGGATATTCCTGGGGCCTTAATCATCGCATTATGAAAATTCTATTAAAGACAGTAGTCAATAAAATAATCACCTATGGAGCCGGGGCCTTTCCCATGACAGCAAGAAAAATTTGGACCCTTAACTCAATTCAAAGACCTTTCTTGATCAATATTACCCGATCATTCTAAACAACCTCCACCAATGCACTACAAACAATAGCCGGGGTGACGCCACTACCAATTCAAACAGAAATCGATACACTGTCCACAATCATCCTACATATCAAGA